TGCTCTCTGCTGCTATTAACTGCTTTCAAGTTCCGACCTCCCAATAAAGTGTCGATCGTTTGTTTTGAGCCTTTCCGGGTTTCAGAGCTGCAAAAGTTCAATCAAGAGGTGTACTGTCTGTAATCCGTGTTTTGAAGCAATTGGTTGAAAGTGGCAGATCGTACTCACTAGTTGAAGGTCAAGGGCAAATGGAATTATGCTTGGGGCGATTTCATGCAAGGCGAGTTTCTTCCTCCCTCAGAAGCGAGCGTGACCAAAGGATGATAACACACAGAGTAATTGTGTTCTTGAGGAAAGACATTTCATCTGATGATGGCACTTTTTCTCTTGGCATTTGCCAATCTACCGTGTGACAACACCCACTTCAGTAAGGGAAGTGATTCCCCATAACCTGGCCACACTTTCGACTACCTCATTCACAAGCGAAGTCCGTGCTGTCATTTCCACAAGAATGCACTATCACTGTCCCAAACCAGGCTACCTAGGAATGCAATAGTCAGGTCGTGTCCATCCTAGGCATAGGATTATATTTTTTGGAAATAAATTCGCTTAAACTTTTTCCAGCTTTCATTCCAGCCTAAATAATGTTTGTTTTTTTTGTTACTTTTATGCTAACTTCAGATACTTAGCATTTATTCTCCGTGAAATCCCCTTTCCTGAACACCGATGTCCCAACGTCATTGTCGATGTGAGTTTCATGTTTGTATGACCTCTGTATTAGCAGCGTTTCATTTGTTGACTTTTTCTTTGTCTCTTCAGCTTGGTGAATATCATATGCGTCTACAAATTCCTTATGGAAACTACCTCTCCAGGTCAGTGATATCATGTTTTACTTTTACAAATGCTTTTCTTGACATCTATGCGAATGGTATTACATTTTTGTGAGCTGCGGCATCGATGGAACTTGTCAGCTTAAATAGCCACTTCGTTATCGCCTTTTGGTGGTGTTGCTTTCCAGTTCCTCGGGTGAACCCTACGCTCAGCTGCTACGTCGTCTCGGTTCAGAGTTGACACTGCAACTGATGGTACAGCTCCTCACCGAACAGAAACTACTCTTCGTCTCGGTTATGCCAGACCTCCTTGTTGACACAATTCAGCAGCTCATTACTGTATGTCTTTCTAATTTTACTCCGCCCTCTTCTCCCTGCTCCCACTGCTAAGTGGGTTCCACGTCAGAACTGAAACCTTTTTAGTGTTTGGTCATTTTTTTGCGTCCCAATGGAAAAGCCGTATAAACATAAACGGTATGCACTCTCTAGAAATCACTATTGCGCGATAAACGGCTTTTCATTCGGTGGGTTCGGGCGAGCACCAGATAACGTACCTAGCATTCGCGTTATAGAGCAGGTACAATTTTACCAGATCTATACTCCACTGTCAACCAGTTCTCGATCGTTGCACATGATTGTCAGATTACATTTACTGCGATCACCTTACTCATTTTTATCAACGCAACTTTTTATGCGTGTGCCTTCAGTTGATTCACCCATTGCGTTGGGTGTTGGTGTACATTCCACTGATCCACATGCGATGCATCCACGTGATTCAATCACCCTCGCCTTACCTCATTGGGGTGGACTCGCGCTTTTTCGAGTTCTTCCAGCTGCCTCCTGCGGAGGCCGACATTAGTGTGGTGGACCTTGACACGGGTCTGTTTCGTCCCGCTGCCACTACTGTTACGGACGCCCGCACTGTGCTGCCCCGCGGACCACAGAAGCGTCTGCGCGTCGCCCTAGCCCGCAATGAGGAGCGCTTGAGCGAGGTCTACATGCGCATCCAACATGACACCAAAATGGGTGTTCGGGTCCAAGAGAAGTACAAAAGCCAATTGGTAAGTGCCTTTAGGCCACTCTCCTCCCAGCTTCCCGCCAAAGGCGTTTCTATTTGACCGCTTACTTTTGGAACCTCGAAAGATTTTTGTTGTTATGAATTTGTGGGCATGAGCTGTCAACGAACGATGGGAAGGGAAATGGGTGGACTAGAATTAATTGGGCCATCAAAGATATCTCATTCTACACTTCTTGGATGGTGATTAGTTAGTTGTTGCCTTTACTTCTTGCAGTAAGGTTTATCCGCATCTTCGGCCATACTCTTCGTTCTGAAATACTTGCTTTCAATTTGCATCTATTTCAAGACATTTGTCTTTTCACTTCACTCTGCCTTGCACTGTCTGCGAGACAGAAACGGTGGCGCTCGTCAGTGTGTAGAATCGACGCTGTCTTTTGTACCGAATTAGTTTAACTTTACGAAAAGTTTCTCCCT